ATCGATAAACGTTTCGTTCTGACTGCAGCTCACTGCATAGAAACGAGAGGCAGTAAAGCTTTAAAAGTCATTTTGGGTGTGACGGACTTCAATGATGCCGAACAATGGCAAACGCGACTCGAGATAGATATTAAAGTGAGTGTTGTTAATTTTTCTAAAGGTTACATGTGCAGTTTACATATGCAACCACCACTATTTTTTTCAAATTTTCTTAAACGGTTTGATTAAAAAGATTGAAATTTTGATGGAACTTTGATGAATTTTTCTAAATTTCATTCATAGTATTACTATAACTAATATTATTATAGCATGAACCAAAATGCTACCTGAATTAAAAAATAATTGTGGCGGTACATTATTCGTGACCGCCAGTGTATATATGTACTTACATACTTATTTATTTCCCTCCCTTTACTTTGTAGGCCACCTATGTACACGAGAACTATTCAAGCTTTTTCAATTATTTTGATATTGGCTTGATTGAATTGGCTAAAGATGCTGAATATAGTGTCAAGGTTTACCCAACTTGCCTGCATACTGATCTCACGGATCTGCCGGAGAACACCGAACTGATTGTGACCGGTTGGGGAGTCACCGAAAATAAGAGTATGCCACATTTATGAAATTTGATTTTTATATGAATTAGATTTTTCATTGGATATATTTTATTCGTTTTATAGCAACTTTAGCTCGCTTGTTGGCAGCCAAGCTAAATACGGTACCGCTTGCACAATGCAACATTAGTTATACAGATCAGATGGAGCATGAGACGCAGCTTTGTGCCTTTGCTCCGGGGCGAGAGGCTTGTTGGGGTGACTCAGGCGGTCCATTGCAACTAGTCAAAGACAAATGGTTGGGTAAATATAGAGTTGTTGGCGTCGTTTCATTTGGCTTAGTTTGTGGCACAAAGTTACCGGGTGTCTACACAAAGGTGGCAGGGTTTTTGGACTTTATCGAAAGCATTGTTTGGCCTGATGGCAGATAATTCTATAATATATGTATACAAATTTTACTTGGCTAAGATATCGAGATTAGATAGATATAATAATTAAGCGAATAACTTTAAGTATTTATATTTTTTAACGCATATGAAAATAAATACAATAGCATGATTTTTATATGTAAGATGTTTTATGTGAACTTTCATTCAAGATGAAGTAGTTTTTACCTATTTCAGCATAGATTTTATTGTATTTGAAAAAAAAAATCTACAAAAACAGTCTCCCAATTCATTGCTACATATGTATATTGTTAAACTTAAATTTTTAAAAACATAACAAAAAAACATTTCGCTCCTTACTACGCAATAGGCAGCTATAAAAATTTCGAGCGCGACGATATTAAACATTCTTCCATGATAAAAATATCGTTAGGTAGAACCGCTGAGAGACAGTTTTAGAATTTTTGACGTTTTCAAGCATTTTAATTTTAAAATTTACTCACAAACACACGCTGTAACTAAGCGATTTTGGCCGATTTTGACCCGCAAATCTTCAAACTAATCGGGTGTAGTCATCGTCCATGTTCTCAAGTGGATTGGTAATACATTAATTTTGTTCATTACTTTTATTTTCAATTACACATAAATAAATACCAAATGGTTTAATACCTTTACCAAAAATTTGTTGATTTTATTTCTGTTAAGCATTTTTCTAAATTCTGATTCTATGTAAATTCTGTACAAAGTTTGAAAGTGTGATTTATATGGTTTTTGTTAAAGCCAGTACCTCAAAAAAAA